GAACGGGTGACCCCGCACCCAGGCGTGAGCCTCCTGCCTTGCCCAGCGGCCCGGATGGGACAGTGGGCGAGGACGCCCAGCCAGCATTTTGCCCTCCCCTCCCCCAACACACACACACCCCCAAACAGGGCCTGGGGGTGGGGGATTTCAGGGCTTTACAGCAGACAGGATCCCAAAGGAGCCCTGTCACCTGTAACCTGGCTCGGCGGCAAGGAGCGAGCAACTCCCCCGGATCAGCTCAGCGCAGGAGGGACTAAATCCCACATCACCTGATGGCTACTCCTATCTGATACCCTCCCCTCGTGCAAAATGAAACCTTTCCGCACCCCAGGCTAAGCCTCCGCACCCCAAAAGCCAGCCCCGGAGAGCAGAGAACCCCCCCACACCCCTCCTCCCCAACCCTCTGGGCCAGTCACCCACAACATGTCACGCCAGAGCCAGCTCCAGGCAGAGGGGCAGAGCCTGAATTTGGCAGCGGGAGTCTCAGCCTGATTCAAATCCCCCACCACCACACTGGGTTGGTGTTTTGGTTTGGTTTGTTTGGGTTTGTTTTTTTTTTTTTAAGCTGGTTAACTCCAGAGCTCTTTACCAGCACCCCCTCCTCCCCAAACCAGCCCTTTTAACCCTCCCCATCCCACCTCTGCCCTCTTCCATCCCTCAGCGAGCTCAGCGAGGAAGGCTCGGAGCAGGCTCTGGGAGGCCGAGGCCAAGCAGAGCCGCTCTCTGCCGGAGGAAGTGGCGTGGGTGACAGGCACGCAGAGCGGCTGATGTGCGCTGGCAGCGCAGCAGCTCGTTAAGACACCCCCCCACCCCCCCCTTTCCTCTCCCCACCCCGCACCCCAGGAGCAGAGGAGAGGCCTTACCTGACCGCCTGCAAAGAGGACAGGAGAGCTGGATGGTTTGGGTCGGTACGGGATGGTGACGCCCTTCGGGGGAGACTGGGTGACAAGCAGAGAGGAGAGGTTAGACACCGAGCGCCGCCGGCACTGACAATCCCCTCCCCGCACCACAGACGCCAACACTTTGGGCTTAAATCGGCTGTTCGGAAGGATGCAAAGCAATCCTATTTCTTTTCCCATCCCGGGCACGAGGCCAAGGGAGGACAGAGCAGCGCGCGAGGGAGGCTTGGGACAGCAGGACACCACTGCTTAGCGTCACCGTGCTGGGCAGCATGATCGGTCGCCACAGAGCTGCAGGTGACACCATTAGCTGGTGAGCAGCTCCAGAGGCCCGGCTCGACCCCGGTTTTAAGCGGCTCCAAGCCTCACCTGGATGAGGCTGTAATACCCAGCTATTCCTTTACCCCCCAGCAACCGTTTCTCTGTCCTCAGCGGTTTCCACTTATTAGGAGGGCCGCAGCTCACCAAGGGCAGCGGGGATCCCTGCGCTGCACGTGCCTCCCCAGGGAAAAAAAAAAAAAAACAAACAGCCCCAGGGCAAGGGGAGGCCCTACCTCAAGCATGACGACGCAGATCTGTTTGACGCACTCGATGATGGACTGTGGGATCCCAGCGATGGTGATGGCTCGCTCGGTTGAGTTGGGCAGCATGTCTCCTGCCACCTGGACCTGTGCCCCCGTGCTCTGCAAGGTTTACGGTTAAAAATAGGCAGTCAGACCCCAGGGAGGGCTGTGACCTCAGCGACAAACCCCGTGGCTGGGTTATACATAGACAAAACTGGCCCCCCCCTGCCCCCCCACACCTCCTCCTTTCCCCCAAAATAAAGAGTCCTTTAATCCTAGCTGGAAATAATTCGGTCATCGGGAGCCCGGGGCAGGAGGGCAGGACCTGGGCTGCAGCCTTTCCCTGTAACTCTAGTCAAGCCCATCTCCGCAGCCAGAGCTGGACAGAGTTAATCCCCTGGCTGCCCAGGGTCAGCAGCACCCGGTGCTAAGTGGCATTACCGAGGACGGCGCAGGCCTGGCAGCGCGTTCCCCCCCCCCACCAACTGGGAAAATGCTGCAGGGGGGGGAGCAGGATTGAGAACCCGGGGTAGAGGGAAGCAGGAACCCAGGCACACTGCAGCAGGGGACAGCGGCGGGAAGGGGAGGGTCTGCCCCCGGTCTCAGTTTCACAAGCACTAAAAATATGAGGAGCTCCAAAAAAGCCGAGTGATGCCATGTCTCTACTACGCGGTACCACCCAGGGCAGGGGTCGACGCAAGGATTTACCCCCGGGGGCACCCAGACCCCTGTGTATCCCCACGCCAGGCTGACAAACACACACCACACACACCTCTCTTATCTCTTTGATCTTGCAGCCTCCTTTCCCAATGAGGGAACCGCACTGGCTGGCGGGTACCACGAGCCGGAGGGTGACTGGGGGCCGGCTGGCAGCTGTACTGTTGGGCATGGAGCTGCTGATGTCCTGCGAGGAAGAGGAGTTACTCAGAGGGGTCAGCCCAGAGCGGTGCCCTCGCCGGAACGACACGCAGGGAGGTGACGTGCCCGGCAGAGGGACGGGGAGGATGATGCTGGCACGGGCAGACCAGGCCAAGGTGACCCTGGGGCTCTCCCAGTCCCGTTTCCCAGGACTTCATCAGTGGCTCAGAAATGACACGGCCGTTTTGGGGAAGAAAGAAGCCAAACTCAGTTGTCTGAATGAACATTGGGGGTTTAACCCCCACCAGCCCAGCACAGAAGCACTGGCTGGGTCACACCGCAGCTGAACAGGAACTGGGGACACTGGAGGGGGACAAGTGGTCGGGGTCTCAGTGCACCCACAGCTCCCAGTTCAATATGGAGCCTCCCGTTTTAACGGGGTGGGGGATGAGGGCAGGAGCCGCTGCGGGGAAAACAAGCCCTGCGCTGATTACAGCGGTCATGTGCTGGCAGGGGGAGGGGAGGCACAAGGCCACGGCTCAACTGACCTACTAAAATAAAAGCTTTAACTCCAAGTCCAGCGCTTGGAGCGCCGACAGCCAGGAGCCGCACTCGGACGGGAGCCCTCGGAATACTCCAGCTCTGGGGAAATGGTAGAAACAGCTCTGGGCTCAGCAGCCTTTTAGGCAGCGGCGAGAGCAGAGAGGTTTTGGGGACAAATCTGCCAGCACTGGGCTGTCTCTTCCCAGGGAAAGGTCTCAAATCCAAAGGGCAAGAACAGGATTTTTACCCCCACAGGCAAGGTGAGGGCCACAGAGCTCTGCCCCGCACCAGGCGAGGAGCGCTCACAACACTCCAAACAACGTGGAGCAGGACGGAAAGCTCCTCACCACCACATCCTCGAGCAGGCTTTAACACCCGCAGCCGGGATCCAGGTTATCCGGGATCAACATCACCCCCCAGAAGTCACCGATTCAACGGGACCAGGGGCACGATGCAGCTCCTCCTTCAGCGCTGCGCAGCTGCAGCCCCAGGACCCCTCCTCGGCAGGGCCGGAGATGGAGCTGAGCCCCCGCTGCCCACTGAGGTGTGCCGAAGGGGAAAACAGCACCTCCGCCCAGGAGGACAAGCAAAGCCAGGGGAGTTTCGAAGCCCTGCTCTGTTTTAAGCCATTTAATCAGTGGCCAAGGGGTGTTTTCAGCACAGCAAAGTCCCCGGGGCGCTCTGGCACTCAGCAAGGAACTGCTTAAGGACAGCTGAGCGCACACTGGGAAGTGTCACTATGTGGACCTTGACCCTGCTCAGAGCCGGGCAAAGAACAGACCCCACGGGGAAAACACCGCCAGCCCATGCGGAACGAGCACGTCCTGCTGCTCATCCCCAGGGAAAAAGCTTTTCCTTGTGCTCCAGACCCCGCCACTGCATGCTCTGGGGCAGATCCCAGGGTGAATTTATCTGGGGACAGGGGTAAAGGATGACTGCAGGCAGGGCAGCAGCCCGCTGCCCCCTCGCTGCGGGCAGGGCAAGGGGCAGGGAGGGCTCGAGGTCGCAGACGCACCTCTTCCAGTTTGTCAATGATCATCGCAAAAGCTTTGAAGATGGCATTGGTGGGTCCAGCGAGGGTGATGATCCGTTCGGGGCAGTTCCCTTCTGAGATGTTAATGCGAGCACCGCTCTGCGGGAGGAAAACGAGCAGAGGTCAGAGCTCCCGGCCCCCCAACTCTGACCCCTAAAAAGCAGCGGTGGGTTCACAACCCAGCTCAGTTCTACGTAAAGCAGCTGGGATTCCCCGCCGCTGATGAATCCTCCCTCGG